ATTTTAGATGTCAAAAAGTATTTGCGGCTCCGAATGTTTTCTTTTGCGTGGAAACCAGGTCCAAATGGCTCTTTGAGTGTTAAAGGTTGCTGACCCCTGCTTTATGGCATGCTTATTTTCTTTAAAATGTCCAGGCACTTCTGTATGAGCTTACCCAAAGAGATGTTGCTCAAATGTTGCCATGACTACTTATAACCACACTGAAATGAAAAGCTGAGGATAAAACCTGCTGCCTCTCACAAATACCTGATTAAATTAAAGAGTTGTGGTAACCGTTTGGACAACTGCACAACAATTCTGGGACATGTGACATGGGTCTTCATAATCTCTTTCACACACATAGAGTTATCAGTTAATACAGTTTTTCCAGGTGGACGAACGCATCTGCCCTGCCAAAGTTTTAAAGCCTTTGTAGAGTCAGGAATGTTCCTGCATTCTGGTTCTTATATAATGCCTCTCAAAGCACTTTATACAACTTGCCTCATTTACCCATCCACACAAGCTCTTTTTCCTACACCTAAGTGCTTTTTATCTAATTTTCACAATTCAATGAAAACATCATTGAATTCAGTTTCTTACCCAACGATACTTTGGCATATAGACTGGAGCTGCCAAGGTTCGAACCACCAAACTAATCGTTTGGTGGTTTTATGGTTCTTCCTTGAAGTAAACTACATCCTTTACATTAACTGTAAGAAATAAATGCCCCAAAACAAAACTACTAACTGAACAGAACAACTGCTTTTTGGAAAAGTGATATGTACAGGAAGATTTAACGCAATAGGCCACTGGATGCAGACATGTAAAAGTCTTTGTTATACCTAGGTCCTTTTTAGTCTTAATTGTTCTCCGTGTTTGTTCAATTTATGTATTAACACATGTTAATATATCCCAGTATACAAAGCAGGATCATATGGATCCTGTGTGACCCGTATAGCTCTGCTCATGGTGAAACAATGCACATAATTTGAAAATGCAGAGGAGTAAAATACATCCTGTACCTCTCATAAACATGGAAGATACAGTAGAAGATGAACACTGTACTGAACACAGTGTACTCACAGCTGGAGAAGATGAGCGGACATGAATGTTCATCCATTGGAAAGTTGTGCAGCTGCAGCTGGCACTCTGCGTTTATGGTCAACCTGCAAAGAGAACAAGATTTTCTTGTAATGAACCTCTTCTGCTTTGCTCCAGATGGTGTAAATTCATATTCAGGTTCAAGTATGATCTCGATGGAATCGGTGGAATGTGAAAGGAGGAACAATCATTTAGCTATAAAAGCGTCCTTGCAGCTACATATTGGGGATTCAAGTGATAATCAGCTAGTGTGATGCAGCTTCAAGTGTGAGAAACGTCTAAATCACAAAGCTACTGCACACGCGGGGACAGGCGACGGCAAAGAAGCTACTCTTCCATTTCAGTTTCAGCTTGTCCTTTCTAACCCCTGTAAAATGCTTCTTTATGTCCTTCCATGGTCATTTCTACCCAAAGAAAACATTGGCCATGAAACAAAACATCTGTGTAACATAATGTTAATACTGAGGTTTTTGTTTGACTTGATAGAAAGTGAAAGAAGAGTATTTTGTTTCTTCACATACTCTTTTAATGATTTACAAAATCTCAAAAATGTGCTCAAATCCTTTTTAGGCCTCAAGCATATAGAGCACTTCATGTTATGCATTTTATTGGATTTTACTTCCAGTTTGGTTTAGTTTCCTATGAGGTTTCTGGCCCACCTTGTTCAGCTATACAAGCTGAATGCCTCGTTACTCTTTGCAGTTAAGCTTTCCAGCTTTGTTAAAACAGATCTTCAGATTTTCCTTCTGTGTCAATGTTGCCCATTCCTTAAACTCTTGCTTCAGCCTGTGCCTCTGGGAGTTTGATTGCACTGTTTGTTTTGGGGGTATTTTTTTTTTATTTGCTCTTTTGCCTGCACATTGCTGCCTTCAGATTAAGCCGATTAATATAAATTTGAAATTTAGAATAGGCAAAATTATTATTTGATCCAGGGCTGAATCTCTAAGTTTACTCACTTACAAAGAAACAAACAGACTCTTCTAGTTTGAGAGACAAACAAAAAACTAAAATCAAACAAAAACAGATATTATAAAAGTTGCATATTAATTTGCATGCCATTGAGGGAAATAAGTATTCAATCTCCTAGCAAGACTTTGTACTTGGCGGGTAAACTCTTGTTGGCCCGCACAGCGGTCAAATGTTTCTTATTTTCAGTCAGCAGGTTAGCCCACATCTCACTTATGTGTTTCAGATCCTGGAAGCGAAGCTCTAACTCTGTTTGGCTGTTGAACTCGCTGACGTATTTCAGTCATTAATTCTTTAAGTTACTTTACAATGAAAAACTTGACAATATAACATCTGAAGATGCCACTCTGGACTCGTTAATCTATCATTTTGTCCGGTCACCTTTGGGGCAAAGGTCACTGTTTCAGGGTAGACAGCCGATACAATAGACGAAACATTATATTCCTTTCACCAGTCACTGTGTATTAGTGGAGGCAAATTTTAAAATGTAAATGATAAAACCAAGCCCCTATCATCAGCCCTCTACCACCTTGCTGTGGTGCCACGTTCTTTTAAGACAAAAGAGACTTCTCCTGCCTCCTTTCAAACAAACCATACTTGTTCAGTCTTTTTCGAATTGTACTGTTATGAACGTTAACATTTAACGTGTTAACTGAAGCCTGTAGAGTCTGAGATGTAGCACTTTTTTTTCTCCAGTTTCCGAGGATTTCACAGTCTGACCTTGGAGTGAATTTACTGTGACATCCACTGCCTTGGATGTTCTTCATTTATGAATAATCTTTCTCATTGTACTGCTCATTGTTACTGCCCATTCCAGATTAATGGGCAGTAGCACAATAACTGCTCAGGACTGAGATATCTCTCTGAGAATAGTCCATCTAACTCTACTCCATGTTCCATGTTCTAAATGTCCCACTGCCACACATGACAGGACACAGCAAGAGGGGACCAATGGCTTAGATCTTTTTTAGTGACACAAGGAATATGCATAATTTTATACAGTTTTCATGGCTTTCCCTGGCTGACTGTGCACTTGTGACAGCCTTTATTGTCCTTCAATGGATTTATAAAACTCAAAAGACAGTGATTGTATTTGACATAAAATAATAATATAATTAATAATAGAAAGGGGTAAAGCTGTACTGAGATATAATTAAAATGATTTAAAAAAAGACAAAACCAAAAAGAGCAAATGGCATTTCTTATTTCACTGAAAAAAGAGGCTACAGGAAGTGATGAGGATGCCTTGACCTCTTTTTACATAATGGAATTGGTTCTATTCACACATCAAACCATGTGACTGAGTAATCAACCATTAAAATAAGGAGAAAAAATCTTAAAGCATTATATTAATTATTCCAAAGTGGCTTTATAAAAGGAATGCTCTGTACGTGTAGATTACATGTGTCACATTAACAAAAAGACGGTAAAAAGCGAAGAAAAGCAGAGAGAAGGATCTTTGCAGAGTGACTCTGGTATGATCTTTCAGCCTCATTAAGGCATGGAACTGGGACAATACGATGCATGTGGGAAAGGCATGGATATCACAAAATGTCATCTCTGTTTACTCCAGCCAAGCCAGTGCACAATTAATACCAAATGACATTTCATAGCTTTCCCTCATGCCATCAGCGGATATTACTCCTCAAAGTTTGCACGCTTCTGAATAGTCAATAGAGCTTCATGAGGACCAATCTTTGTTTATGGCTTGACTTGGACATCGAAATGCTGCTACTTCTTTGTTGGATTTACTACTCTGTGTGAATAAAAAAAAGTCTGATAGACTTTAAAGACACTACGTGTGGAATAATTTGCAATGCAGTTGCCTCAACAGAAAATGTCAATTAAAAAATGTGAAGATGTCAAACATAAGGGCAGCTACAAAAAGACTGAGGACAGTCGAGAGATGCTTATTAGCGAAGGAGCATTTTATTATAAATGTGAAGTGCTGCAATTACAAAGAGTGCTCGAGGGCACGAGAGTAGATGCCTCTGTAAATTGGTCTTATATCTCAAGCAGCCAATTTGCACTTACAATTGTTGAAGACAGGGGCTAATTGCTCTTGCACTGCTCTGTTTGGAGAATGTTTCCATCCCAAACGGTGCTGCCTTCGTTTTATTGTTAAATAAGGATGCTAAATTTCCTTACAAGATGAAATGAATGGATGTTGCTGGCTCAAAGGCGACACGGCACAGAAAACATCAAGCTCCAGAAAAGTAATTACAAAAATCATATGGAAAAAAATGTTAATATGCTATGTACCATAGCATATTAACACATGCATAAATATATGTGTTATTTATGTGTAAGGACAAGAAAGACATTGTGGACAAAACAGGACACCCCCCATAATCTTTAGTTACAATATTATAGTTAGTTAAATGGTCTGATTGTTCAAATAT